CCCCTGGACCGGTGGCCAGGACCCGAGCAGTGTGAGTGCCACTGAAAATCAGCTCGCGTGCTGCAGGTTGCCTACCCCTGGACTAGAAGGAGAAGGGAGTAGTTTTGGAGTCTTTCCATTTTTTCCTTTTGTGTATATCAGAATAGCGCTTTCTCACATTTTTGGCTTATCAGATTTGCAGCATGCCTCAGTGTGTTCAATCAGCTGAACATTTCACGCATCCGAGCTTTTATTTTTTTATTTAATGCATGTTCTAGAGCATCAGTTCTCAAACTATTGGGTGGGTCTCCCAAGGGAGGTTTGAGAGTGTGTTAAAGGAGGTGTGAGCTGTGTGCTATTTTTTCTTCTTCTTTTTTTTTTTAAGAGTTCTGGCTGTCAGCCCAGGTGGCTGGGTCTCATGCAGAAGGGCCATACATGGAGGCAGTGGATCTCCAGCTGTCAGCCCTCGGGTGGCAGCAGCAGCGCAGAAGTAAGGGTGGCAATGAGGTGCTAAATCCACTGTGAAAAGTGATATTGACGAATATCACTTTTTTTCACATTGCCACCCTTACTTCTATGCTGCTGCTGGCGCAGCGCTGCTGTTAGAGCTGGGTGCCCAGGCAGCCGCTGCTGCTCTCTGCTCTGCCTTCAGAGCTGGGTGGCAGTATATGTACTTGTGGTTTATGCCCCCCTCTCCCTACTATAGAAACAAAGAAGGGGGGCCTGATCAAATAAGTTAGAGAACCACTGTTCTAGAGGCTCCAATCCCCTTTCAGTTCCAGCATAGTAGAAGTGTCTGTATTTAGTTACAGCTTCTAGCTAAGAGGTTTCAGCTAGAAGCTGTTAGCCCCATTGAGTTTTTTGCCTGAGTGGATATTCCACAGTCATGCAGTGGTGTAACAAACTCCTGAATAATCCCTAAAAAGAGAGAAGATTTTTCCTAATCTGTTGCATGCACAAAATTAATTTATGTGGGGGATAACCTAAAATATTAGCCTTTAAAAAAGATAATCAATGTTTTTGTGAGAAATTTATCTCAAAACATTAAATAGTAAGTGTGGAATGCACCAATGGACTTATTCATTGCAACACTGAGCATCACAGTGCCTAACTTTAAGACACCTAGAAAATCACAGGAACAACACTGCAATTCACAAAGCTCCTTGTATGATGAATGGAGAGAGAGAAGTGCTTAAAAACGTGATCCACAAACCTATCATGTTAGGCAGCCAGTGCTGGTGCTAGCCCATTGGGGGGGCCTAAGGAGGAATATTTTTGCCCCCCAAAACACACACTAATAATTACTAGGGGTTCCCCTTGAACTGCTAGGGGCCCTAAGCAATTGCTTAGTCTGTTTATGCCTAGCTCTGGCACTGTAGGCAGTTCTGTGCCTAAGCCAGCCAATGGGAGATGCTGACCTGTCCTAAACTACGTCTCCTCTCTCTCTCTCTCTCTCTCTCTCTGAGATAGGTGCTATCCTGCAGTCTAGACTTAGGCCCCAATGTCTGGCTTAGTGATCCATGAACTGGAATCAGCCACCTGGAGTCAGGCGGCTTAAGTATATAAGCCACTACTTGATAGAGTAAGTTGTATGTTTGCTCATAAAAATGGCTGGAGGAGAGGATGGTGCCCACCTTATAATATTTAACTCAGTGGTTAGAGCACTCAGATGGGATATGGGAGAGTCAGGGTCAAGGTCCTCTCTCTCTGTCAGAGTGGGAGATAGGCTTTGA